CTTGTATTCTCTTGATTTTCTGTAATTGGTTGCTGTGTTTCTCTTTTTCATTAAAACCCTGTGGTGTTGCATAAGAACCTCTCTGGTTTTTCATTTGTCCTTTGATTTCCTCTTGCAGCAGTATTCACTCTTGTGCAGGGAAGAAGTGTCAGGAGTCCCTCAACAGTTCAACTCTGATGACAAAAAATGCTATTTGTCTGAGCCCTTCAACCAGTTTTAGACTGTGTGTGCATTTTTTTTAATTTTTGCAGGCCTTGATTCAATAGGTCCTCTGCAGAAGTTTTCTATTAGTGCAAAATGATCTAAAAATGGCTTGAAAACAACTTGCTGCATTTGTGCCAATATGTTGAAACATGTTGCATGTACAGATTCACTTTCAGAGTTGTAATTCTACAACTAAATCAAAAAAAAGCAAATCAAAATGCCTTATTATGGGAAGATGATATTTTTTTTTTCAGTGACAAGGAGGAGTTCCTTTCCTGAGATGAAAATACTTTGTGATATTTGAAATTCATTCTTAGTTCTCATTGACATGGTTTGTCCAATTTGCTTTGCCACACTTTAGCTGCTGCAGAGGAACTGGCTGTACTGGTGTGAGAAGTGTGGGCTGCAGTACCTGCTGCTGAGCATGGAAAATGCTGAAATCCCCCATCCAAGAGGGGCCTTGGAGTAATTCAAGGCTCCTCAATCCCAGAAGCAAAGAGTAGCAGGATTTGGGGGAGCTGGTGCTGCTCCAGGCCTAAGAAGGAAGGATAAAGGAATGCCATTGGTGCCAGGCTTGTTTTCTCTTCTCTACTCTTTTCCCAGATCCTGCATGTCCCACCAAAATATTCTCGTTCGCCTCTGTCAGCTGCTTGCAGCTTCCCTATCCCAGCACCATTCCCTGATATCACCAGGGCATCTCAGGACCAGCATTAGCCCTCCCACAGCTGCAGGGCACCCACCTGTGGGGTATTCCCATGCTGGGAAAAGAAGGAAAGGAGACAAGACTTGGATGCAGGAAAGCTTTATTGTGCCCGGAGGGACAATGTCAGAGATGGTGGCCAAGACCCAGCGAGGCTGGTTGCCACATCCTAGGAGAGGCAGACAGATCATCTCCAGAACTTTGCTTCTTGATCCATATGGTGCCTTGGTGTGGAATTCCATACGCTGAGGACTTGGCCCATCAGCCCCTTGAGAGGGACTGGGTCTGGGCTGGGTCTAGCAGGGCCCACAGGTGTCCCAGAGCTTCTTGCTGTAGCGGGGCAAGACACAAGGGCTGCAGGCGGGAGAAGCGTAGGGTCTGCCAAAGGTGCAGAGGCCGGCTGAGCCCTGGGTGGCCCCGGCACCGTAGAGGCCCCCCAGCCCCAGGGTGCCCCCAAAGGCGGGGGCTCCC